GGGAGGGAGGGAGGGAGGGAGGACAACCAGGGGTGGCAACCACACATCATCACTTGATACACCTGGACAGACAGTGAGAATCCAGTGGCTTCTCATATGATTCCTGGACACTGGATCAACAGCTATGTCTGATCTCTCCTATGTGTCCAAACAGAAGGCACCTTTACCAGATTTGTCTGCAGGTGACAGATAAGGCCACTTTCTAATTTGTTTCATTTTGGGGTAGAGGTGTCAGACTCATCTGAAGTGTTAGGCAGTGATTGATCAAAAGGAGTCTTGGGAACCTGGAACTCAGGTTTTGTACCCCCTAGGAGCTCTTTGACCATCACATTCTTTCCCATTTCAAGGGGCTCTGAGACACACAGTGTCTCAAGGTTTGGTCTCTGGGAATCTTGGTGGAGCCTCCAGAAATGTTATGGGGTATCCAGTAGAGAAGACTGCTTGCTTTAAGTCAATAGAAAAATCTATATTAGCTGGCCAGAGACTACACTGGGTATTCGGGATCCCAGTGTAGTCTCTGATAATATCCCAAGACTCTGTCAGTGTAAACTTTTAGGCACAAAAACACTGTTCTGTATTGACATACTTCATTTAACAAGGACATTTAGCCAGAATTATGGAAGTCAAAAGGCAAAGTTAGTACTTTGGAGACTTTTCCATAACCATGGACTTTGATGGATTAGGTCTTTGTTTTCATTTTGGTAGGCGGTACTGACCATGTACTGAGTTTTATGGCCTGAATGGTACTCCCATCATGGAGTCAGTTGTGCTGAGGTCTGGAGGCCTACTAAGTTCTGGGGTCCTGATACAGAGGCAGGAGGTGAGAGAGAGTCAATGACCAGGGAAAGATATAGTTCAGGGATAATCAAGATTGGATGAATAAAGGGGTCAGTATGGGTCATGGGGTAAAGACAGAAGAGAACCAAGGCTAGCTCTGGAAAAAAATGGGGCTGCCGATCCAGGAGCATGACGGGACCAACAGGCATGTGGGCTCAGAGGAGGGTGGCCAGTGGTCATGGAAAGCCAGGTCACACTGGGCTCATCACAAGGAATAGTCCCAAAGGACATCAAACACTGGAATCCCACCTCACTCACCTGAGAGACTAATCCATGACAGTTTCTGCATAATCCACCTGTGTTGCTGGCCTCTCCACTCTTCTCCTTTGGGATTCCATGCTGAGTGAAGAGACCAGAGACTTCAGTGTGGACAATGTAGGGGACCAGGTCCAGCAGTTCACCTTCCTTGAGCCTGGTGATAGGCTGTAAGTGTGACTGAGAGAGAGACAGACACCCAGACCACAGGACCCAGCTGTGGAAGCTAGCCTTCTTTCTTGATGGCTGTTCTTAGCTGTCATGTTGACTACATCTGGTATTAAGCCAAGTGGCTGGGCACTGCTGTGAGGGATTTTTCTTAATTGATTTACTTAAGGTGGAAAGACCCACCCTAAACCCAGATCTTTTGAGGTGGGGAGATCTACCTTAAATCTAGGCCATGCCTTCTGGTGGCACTCTATAAAAGACATGGAAGAAGCACTTGCCCTTTGCCTGCTCTCACTCTGCCTGGCAAGTTCATCCCTTCACTGGTATCAGAGTCTACTTCTTTGGGATTTTAGTGTATATTGAAGACCAGCTGAGACATCCAGCCTCGTGTACTGAACAAATATTGGTCTCTTGGACTTTCTGTCAGACAGCCCATTGTTGGAATAGTCAGACCATAGACTATATAACCTGTAATCCACTCTAATAAATCCAGTGCATGTGTGTGCACTTACATTCTACCAGTTCTGTTTCTCTAGAGAACTCTGACTAATACACTCCCTCAGCTGCTACATTTGAAAGCTCTAGCATTGCAAGTAGCTGTCAGTACCTATGAGCTCCCTGCCTAGATACCAAGCCTTAAGACCCCCATCTTATCTCCCAGCAGTAGTAATCTAAGATTCAGCCTTGTGTCTCTGCCCTCCTCACACCTCTGCTTTGTCCTAGGAGCAACACTCACCTGAGGAAGATGAAGCAGATCCCAAGAAGCAGGAATTTGATAGCTGCCTCTCCCATTGCCACTAGCACCACCTCTGCCAGGGTACCTGATTTCCCTAAAGAAAGGTGGGTGGACCTGAATTTATCGATAATCCCAGGCAGAGACCTCCCTCTCTCAGTAGCACATAGATATAGTCCTTTAAATCTTCCTGCATCCCAGACCTGAGACCTCATTAGCCCAAGCCTCCCTGACTCCCTCACCATGTTGCCAACAATATATCAGAAAAAAAAACCACTTTCTTTCATAATTAAAGCTTCTGTCACAGAGGCATGGTGACCATCTATAATATTACTACTCAGAAGGATGAAGCAATAGGATTATGGGTTCAAAGCCAGCATGGGTTACCTAGCAAGATTCTGCATCAAAAATTAAAACCAACAACTGCCATTGAAAATATCAAGGAATTACAGATCTAGGGGGCATATTTGCATATTGTGGTAATGGGCTGTTGTCAAGCACATAAAAAGAACTCTTTAAAAATTTTATGTTTTTATTTGCCTGTGTGTATGTATTGGCACACATGAGTGCCTGGTGTTCTCTGAAGTCAAAGGAGGCTGTCAGATCCCCTAGAACTGGAGTTACAGACAGCTATGAACCACCATGTGGGTGATAGGAACTGAGCCCATGTGGTCTGAAAGAGAAGCCAATGCTCTCAACCACTGAGCCATCTCTCCAGCCTCCAGAAAAGAACTCTTACAGCTTGAAATTACAAAGAACTCAAATGCCTTTAATCTCAGCCCCTAGGACAGAGGCAGATTTCATATTTATCTCTATCTCTGTCTATGTCTCTATCTCTGTCTCTATTGCTCTCTCTCTCTCTCTCTCTCTCTCTCTCTCTCTCTCTCTCTCTCTCTCTCTCTCCTGACTTGAGGCCAGCCTGGTAACATAGTGAGGCCCTTCCTCAAAAAAATAGAGTATGAAGGTCTGAAGGTCTGAACACTCCAGCTCATAACTGTTATAGGATTTTTAACTAGTACTTTTCAGAAAATAATGGCCAAGAAGAGACAAGGTTGCTCAATGGCCTGTGACTCACCTGGTTAACATCTAGCTAACAATCTGGTTAAGCCAGATTGAATGACCAGTGAGCCTGACGTCATCTCCCCAGCAGTGGAATTATAAGCACATGCCACAATACCAACTCCCTTCCTCCCTCTCTCCCTCTGTCCCTCCATTCCTCACTCCTTTCCCCCTTCTTCCCTCCCAGCTTCTGTATGTGTGTGTGTCTGAAATGTGGGTTTTGGGAATTGAACTCAGTTCCTGCAAGGCAAGCCCTTTACTCACTGAGCTATCTCCCTGTCCCTACATTTTCTTTGTCTTTATGTCTGGTCAAAGTGCATAAATAAGCAATACCAAACTTCTCCTGATATTGATGAATACGCAAAAGATTCCCAGGGACAGGGGGTGGGTCATTGCTCATCCTAGGATCAGTCCACAGGACCCAAATGAAAACAAACAAAAAGGGTTTGCTCCACCTGACTTGGTGGAAGTATACACTCTCCTAGCTCCCTGCTGGGAATGTTCTGCTGTTCGGCAGCCATGAAGAAACACTTGGTCATCATTCTTTGTATTAGAAAGACACCAGATCCAGATGCAATTTGTATTGGGGAATTAGTAATTCAGACAGATAGAAAGACTGACAGACAGATTGACAGACATACATACAAAACTACTCACCACACATTGCTTTTGGCAGAGTGATATCAATGAGATGGCTGCCCAATAGTATAAAATGTCCACAGAACTGGATCCAACCAGTGTGAACCAGAGTCATGGAGAACAGAAACCATTAGGCTACTGATATCCTGAGTCCTCTCAGGCTACATGTGGACAAACAATAGATTAGCACTGTGTGTACTCATTGGTCTGTCCTGAGAAGGGGACTAACTTCTGTGAATGTTTACCCATAACGCTGTGTCTCCTGCATGCACCATAAGATCCAAGCTGACATACACAAGTGTTAGAGTGTGTGATTCTGTTTTGTGAATGCTGGCCTATCCCTGTAATGACCCTAGAGTGCCCCAGAAGCCCAAAAGGATCAAGGAATAGGTGGGGACAGGTGCTGTGACACTTGAATGTACTGTGGATGAGAAAGGTCATTAGTTTTCTAAGAAGGGGGTTTTTGAGTTCAGGATAAGGAAGGACGAACCTTGCTCTAAGCTACAGAGATCCTGTTCCTGCAACACAAGATGACTCCCCCTACCTGGGCCAGCTCCTCTAGTGGCGTGGGTTGCGGTATTCTGTGCAGTATCTTGGAAAAACAAAAACAGAAAACAAAACAAAAAACTTGACATCTCAGGTTTCAGCACCATTCCCCACAACTGTCCAGAAAGCGTAGAATTCGAGAGGTATGGGGACTGTGTCTATCTTAGTCCCCAATCCAACTATGATCCATCACACAGTCACCATGAACCCCAGCACTGGGTTGAACTCACAGGTGACATTGATCTGGACAGCCTTTTGAACAGTTACACCAGCTCCAGGGAAGGTCACTTGACAGACGAGGTTAGTGCCATGGTCCTGTAGCCTAGGTGTGAGGGTCAGAACTGAAGAAAGGGTGGTCCTAGGGCCCAGGGATGTGAGGGCAGCTGACATCCAGGAAAAGATGGGAGGTGTCCCCTTTTCACAGGCCCAGGGCACAGAACATGTCACGTTGCTAGGATGGCCAAGCTCCAGAGTCTGTGGGATGTCGATGTTGGGGGTGTGATTGAGGGCTGGTGAGGAGAAAAAGATGCAGGATCAGGACAGGGGAGAAGTACAGCCACTGAGAAGCCCAGGTTTGGATCCAGCTCCTCCATTACCCTACTCCATCCCCAGTGACTCTCAGGCTATGACCCCAGCCCTGCTTTGTGGCATCCATGAGCTTCCTCTGTGGTCAACATGGAACCAGTACTTTACCTGTCACATTCAGAAAGAGCTGATCTTTGTAGTAATTCCACTTAAAGGTATCACTTTCCGTTCTGAAGAAGTAATAACCGCTGTCACTCCTCTGTGCATCTCTGATGTCCAGTGAGCAGTCATTGATCCTTGGGTCCCCAAAGAGATGGAATTGGCTGTGAGTCTCCTGCATTGTTTTGTCTGGGTTGTTTGTAGCCACTGGAAAATCAAGGTCTGTATTCGATCCTGCACGGAACCAGTAGCCGAAGACGGTGGTGTTAAAACTTGGGTTCTTGAAAAGACTAAAGAATGTGCAGGGCACGAAGACACACAGACCCTCCTGCACTGTCACAAGTGTGGACTGCAATTCCACCTTGAATGTCTCATACATAAACATGGACTCTGCATGGAGAAGAAAGTAGTTTTCAGATGCCCACCCACACACCCAGAGCAGTAGCAACAGCATCCCTGCCCAAGGCCTGGGCTCCTGTGAGTGAGCAAAGAGAGGACTCCAGCAGGCAAAGCTTTATAGGAACTGGGAAAGCTGCAGAGAATCAAGAGCTTTCAACTCACAGAAGAGGAACCAAGGACTGCAGGTGGCCTGAGTCTTCCTGTCTGCAGAGAACATAGGAAAACCCAGCAACCAGATGTCAAAGAGACCTGAGCGACCCAGGCAGAGAGGAACAGAGAAGGAGGACTGTGAAGATAGCTCAGTCTGCAAAGTGTTGATTGAACAAACACAAGGACCTAAATTCAGATTCACAGCACGTACAAAAATATGGGCATGACAGTGCATGTCCGTAAATCCCAGTGTTGGGGAGGAAGAGACAGGAGGATCCCTAGAGTTTGTCAACCAGCCATTCTACCTGACTTTGTTATCTCCAGATTCAGTGAGAGACTCTCAAAAAACGAGGTTTAGAAACTGGAGAGATGCCTCAGTGGTTTAAAGCACTTATTGCTCTTGCAGTAGACCCATGTTCAATTCCCAGGACCAATTTGGTGTCCCACAGCCATCCACAACTCCAAGGAATTTGACATCCTCTTCTGACCTGCACTAGGCATGCAGGTGGTGCATACATATACATCCAGGCAAAACACGCATAAACATAAAATAAAATAATAAATCTTCAAAAAAATTGATGAGGCAGAGAATAGTTGAGGAGGACACCTGACATATGCACACACATGCACACAGGAAGGAAGGAAGGAAGGAAAAAGGATGGATGGAGAGAGAGAGAGAGGGAGGGAGGAAGGAAGTAAAGAAGTAAGGAAAAAAGGGAGAGAGGGCACTAGGGAGGGAAGGAAGGAGGGAATAAAGGAAGGAAGGGAGGAGTAGAGAAGGTTAGAGAGCAAGTTGTGAGGGACTTCCCTACAGCACCGGGGTTGATCCAGACAGAGGGGTGACTCTAAGACCTTTCCTTAGTCTAAGGCCTCTCCTTAGGAGGAAGATCTCAGATGAAATGAAGCCAGACTCTGTTGAGTTTGCCCACTCATTTTTCCAGGAAGTATACAGTGAGCTTTGGACTTTGCAGAACTAGACACAAGAAGGGAAACTTGTGTCTACCCCCCCACCCCACCCCAGCGCCACCTGCCTTGCAGGAGTCTCAGCCTCTCCATACACTGGTGCTGCTGTCTTCAAAGCTGCTGGCACTGGCGAGCTCTCCACCTGCCATGGAGGTATATATTTGTAAAGCATGAACTGGGAATTGTTTCTCTCAAATCTAATGGACTAATTCCCAAGGTGCCAATGACAGTAGCACCGTCAACGTGACACAATAAGAGAACATGAGTTCTCAACAGTACAGGATAAACAGCTTCTCATGGTGTGGTGTGGTGTGGTGTGGTGTGGATAACAGCCACGGCTAAGTCCTCACCTTGAACATCAGCACTTGCTTCAAATCTCAGATCTGTATCTCCCAGTTAGATGTCCATCAGAAGGCACTGCAGTGTCAGATAGAATAAGCGGATTGTTAGAAAAGATTCAATTTTTGGTTCAATTCCTATGGTTTCCTGTGTCATAGAATCTAATGTTACCAATATATATATTTTTTAGAAATTTATTTGCTGGGTGTGATGGTGTATACTTTTAATGCCAGCACTCAGTGGCAGAGGAAGACGGATCTCTGTGAGTTGAATGAGCCTGGTCTACATAGTGAGTTCTAGACCAGCCAGGATTATATAGTGAGATACTGTCTCAAAAATATTTTTATTAATTCTGAGAATTTCATAGAATGTATTTTGATCATATATATACCCCTACCCCTACTTCCCTATCTACCCACCTTTGTGTTCCCATTTTAATTAAAACACATTGAGTTCAGTTTGTGTTACCCATATGCTCTTGGGTTTGTGACCCTCCACTGGGGTGTGGTCAACCTACCAGGAGCCATACCCTTAAAGAAAACTGACTCTCCCTATCCCAGCAGCTATCAGTTGCCAACGGCTCTTCAACTAGGGGGCAGGATGTCATGCCCACCTCTCCTCTCCATGCTGGGAATTGGTCTGACTTGAGTTTGCACGGGTCTTATACATGCTATCACAACCACTATGAGTTCATATGTATACCTGCCTGGGTGTGTACAGAGGACACTGCTTCCTGGTGGTCATTCGCTGCCTCTGGCTCTTAATTCTTTCTAGTCTTTCTTCTGAATTGATTCATGATCCTTGGGAGGTGGAGTGAGGTATAGATGTCTGTGCACAGTTAAGCATGCTGAGTTTTATTCTCTGTAATTTTTATATGCAATTATCTCTTTGTTGTTGAATAGTATCTCATTTTCTAAATTCAGAATTGTTTCTATTTGCTTATAAATTGCTTAATTAAAAGTTCTTAATATGCTGTGGACACAGTCACATATTTTTAGATGTCTTCTCATGTATGTAATGTTTCATCCTCTTAACCCTTTTTCATGACAGTAAGAAGACACTGCTAACTCAACATTCTTGTTGTATGCAAGGAAACACATGATATGCCCAGGAGGAAGAAGAAAACAAAGATTATGAAGGAGGCTGGTTCAGACAGACAAGCATCCTAGTGAGATGGCACTGGGTACTGCAGCCCAAAGAAACTCGGACACCATTGCCTAGAACCTGTAATGTTTCCTTTCTCCTATGAATGGTCTTGGTAAATGTGACTGAGTGAAGGATTTTGCCCATTGGGGACCATCCTGCATGTGACTCCAGAGGCAGAGATGGGAGTAATGGATAGGGGACAACAGCCTCCAACAAGTGGATAAGCAAAGGGGTGGACAGTCCCTCTGATCTCTTCAGGGGCAGCCACCCTAGGAACATAGTACTTGGCACCAAAGAACATGACTTTGGATTTCCAACCTCTTTAACCACAAGAGAAGAAGCATCTGTGTTTCAGACACCTGCTGTGTGTGGTTGTTTGGGGCTATGAAAGCTTCATGAGAAGGAAGCTACTGAGTAGCTCTGAGAGACCTCAGGGAAGGAAGGGGGCAAACCTCCCCCCAAGTGACAGTCTCTGTGTTCTGGTGTCTAAAAACTTTCTTAATTGTTTATGTTGATTCTACAAAATGAAGTGTTTCAGAATCACATTTCCCTTCTAATACATCATGTATCTACAGTCATACCTCTGTGAACACACCATATCGAAGTACAGCTTAGGGGTACCTTTTCCACATCCACTCCCATCATTACCTTCTCCTATCTTTCATTTTCCTTTCCACGAACCCCCTTCTGTCTTAGTCAGAGTTCTCTAGAGTGAGATAACTTATATACTGAATCTCTCTATATATAGAAAGAGGATTTATTAGAATGACTTACAGCTACAGTATGGGAGAAATTGTACCATGTATTAGATGCTGATTCGAAGCATATACCACCTTCTGGAGAACCCTGCCCCAGCCCTCCAGGCTGATGGCACCTAATTAGCAATGAAACGGTGTCTTCAAAAGGCCATTCTGTCTTCTTATCAGGCCACTGCTTCAGGATTATGGGCAACATGGTAAGACCAGTGGACTTCATGATCATGAGCCTACTGTCAAACTTCTCTGGCTGTAAAGTGAGTTTCATGGTCAGAAGAATAAGTATCTACTGTGGTAAGGACAAAGTACTTTCCATGGAGGAAGCAGTCCAATGTAGTCAACCTGCCACCAGGATGCTGGCTGGTCACCCTGGGGAATGGTGCCATATCTGAGGCTCAATGTTGGTTTCTGTTGTTGGCAGGTCTGGTACTTAGCAGCATCTGTAGCCAGGTCAGCCTTGGTGAGTGGCAGTCATGTTGTCAAGCCTAGGCAAGACCCCTCCATCCCTTTCATCATGGCCTCTTTGATCATGGACCCATTGGGTAATGACAGGAATGGCTGGGGAAAGAGGTTGACTGTCACAGAATGGGTTCTCCTCAGCTGAAGTCACCTTTTGATGAGTATTTACATAAGTATCATCACATCTTTTATCCATTTGGAAACAACACACATCTGGTCATTTCTCCTTTCCTCCCAAAAGATATGATTATGTGTATTGCCTAAAGTTCTGCCCACTATGAAGGTTTCCCTTTGCCAGTGTCTTTCAGCATTGTCCCAGAAGGAGTTGTAATGCTGCAGCTGTCCACTTCTGGATAGTGCCTGGATAACATGCAGAACCATCAGCAAACCATGCCCTAGTCTTCTCTTTCTCAATAGGGCATATCCCATGACACTATAGGTGCATTATTGGCAGCAGACAGTGTTGTAACAGGAGTAGAAAACACAGGTATTTGGGAAGACTTCTTCATGTAACTTGCTTGTGACTTGAGGACCTGCTCAGGTCCAATCATGTAATTACCACTTGCATTCGATAATGGATTGCTGCTGTGCAATGACTTGGTGGGTCAGATAACACCCAGTTTATGATGGGCAGTCCACATTGCATGGTAACTTGGTAACCCACTGTCAAATGTTCAGTTTCTACTAAGGACCAATAGCTGGCCAAGAAATGTCTCTCAAAGGGAAAATAATTATCTGCAGATGATGGTAGAACCTTGTTCCAAAATCCTAAGGTTTCTTTTGTAATTCACCTATAAGGGCCTGCCAAAGGCTCCAAACAGCATCCCTATCTTCCACTGACACCTCAAGTACCATTGGATCTGCTGGATCATATGGTTCAAGTGGGACAGTAGCCTGCACAGCAGCTTGGACTTGTTGAAGAGCTTTCTCCTGTTCCAGGCCCCACAAAGCTAGCATTTTTGTGAGTCATGTGGTATATGGTACAGAAAAATACACCCAAGTGAGAAATGTTCTGTCTCTAGAATCCAAATAGGACAACTAAATGTTGGGCTTGTTTCTTGGTGGTGGGAGGAGTCAGTTGCAAAAACTTATCCTTTACCTTAGAAGGAATATCTCTGCATACCCCACACTACTTGGAATGCTAAGAATTTCACTGAGGTAGAAGGCCCTTGAATTTCAGTTGGATTTATCTTCTATCCTCTGATATGCATATGTGTTACCAATGAGTCCAAAGTGGTTGCTG